TAGTTTAGTTCCCATCATGCTTCCTATCTCTCCCATCTTTCAGCATGTTATTGACTAGGTTAGGTGACTCCCTGCTCAACATGCTTGCTTTTGTGGATTCCATTTGGAGGTACTTAACTTTTCTCCATTGTAGAAGGAACCTGTGCACCTAAGTCAGCACTATAAATGCCTAATTTTAAGTCTCATTCTAGTTCACAGCTACAGGAGGCAGTGCCATCTGATCCATGAAAAAAAAATCCACATTTATCTATAACTGAGCACAAAAGCTATGTGGAAACTACATTTCGCACTGCATGCAATGTAAATCTAAGAAAGCATGACACACACAGCTCATATAGATTCATACTTAGTGCCTCAATAGATCCAATAACTCCACAATGGTCTCCAGCCTGAAGAACAACTTTGAATCTAATCTACAAAGACTTTTAATAGATAAGGCATCTAAGACGTAAAATGGCTGAAACTAGGGATGTGAACTTGTACCAGTATGAATGTGTACCAGGAAGGGCTCATCAGCAGGGGTGGCCCAAGGCAGGCTGCGGCAGCTGGCACCCCAGCCGGAATGCGTGATCAGTGCCCCCACCTGCATGGCCCTCAACGGAGTGATGTCGGTGTGACGTCATTATTGGGTGCCCCATTGAAGGCAGCGCCCTAGGCGACAGCCAAGTCGGCCTATACTCATGGGCTGCCCCGCTCATCAGTTAACCCTTACTGTTACAAGCAGCCTCCCCTTCTCCCACATCTGCTGCTTTTGTATCAGAGGTGGAGGAGGTGGAAGCTGATGCGAATAGGGAGCCAGCTTTTAAGCTGGCTTCCTGTACATGCCAGCTTCCATGGAGCTGTCTGTTCCCCACCCCCATGCTGCTGCCTCCCACAGAGCTAAAACGATAATAAAGATCAGAATTATCAGACATGTAGATGAACATGATTTGTTAGGGAAGAGTCAACACAACTTTTGTAAAAGGAAACCATATCTCACCAATGTATTAGAATACTTGTAAGAGGCTTAAACATGTGGACAAGAGAGATCCACTGAATATAGTGTATTTCAACTTTCAGAAAGGGTTTGACAAGATCCATCACTAAAGGCTCTTAAGCATATAAATAGTCATGTGAGAAGAGGAAAGGTCCTCTTTTGGATCACTAGCTGGTTAAAAGACAGGAAACAAAGGACAGAAATAAATGGCCAGTTTTCAGAATGTAGAGAAGTATATAGTGATGTCACCCAAGGATCTATACTGGGACCAGTACTGTTGGATATATTCCTAAATGATCTGGGAAAAAGACTAAGCAGCGTGATATAATTTACCAACAATAAAAAAATTATTCAAGATAGTTATGTCCAAAGCTGACTGTGAAGAATGACATGGGGATCTCACTAAACTAGATGACTAAGCAACAAAAAAGCAGATGAAGTTTAATGTTGATAAATGCAAAGTAATGAACAGTGGAAAACATAATCCCAACTTTATGAGCAAAATGATGGGTTCTATATTAGCTGTTTACTCCAAGGTCTTTCATGAGTGTTATTTTGGATAGTTCTCTGATTGAAAATATATGCTCAATGTGCAGCAACAGTCAAAAAAGTGAATAGAATGTTAGGAACATTAGAAAAGCGACAAGACAAAATATCACAATGCCACTCCGTAATTCCATGGTATGCCCACATATTTTAATACTGTGTGCAGTTTTACTCATCCTATTACCAAAAAAACCCCAACCCAAAACAGTATATTAGAATTGGAAAAGGTACAGATAAGGGCTACAAAAATGCATGGCTGTGAAAAACATGTCACAGACCATGAAGTCCTATCTCCCCCATGAGAAGGTGCAGAGCTGGTGGTGCCCTAACCAGGGAGAAGTTCCATACAAGAGGGGCAGGGAGCAGGAGCTGGTGCTGGGGGGAACCAGTAAAGCCAGTCCCTGCCAGCACCATCTCTGTGGAGGGCAGGGGAGGCAGAGGCACAGCAGAAAAGGGTGCTTTTGCTTTGTACTGCTTTGTGCTTTCTGCTGAAATATACAAGAGCCCTGGGGGGCTCATTGGTTAATGTGGGCTTATCAGTTAATGTGCACAGTTACGCACAGCCCTCCACCTCCTTTGCTGCTGCCTCTGTATTTGCTGGAGGGGGCAGGTGGGAGCTGGTGAGGCTCCCCCTGCATACTGGCACCCACGGAGCCACCTGCTTCTCCCCCACATACACTGCGGAGTCTACAGGAGTTGCTACACAGGGAGAGCCAGCTTTCCATACACACTAGCTCCCAGGGAGCCTACCACCTGCCTCCCCCCCATGTAACCACTGAAATTTTCAGCAGTTGACTTGAATAATCACAGTTTAGTTGAATAATCACATTTTACAATCCCTAAAAAGCACCAAGTTTAAAAGAAACCAAAGGAAGTACTTCTTCACAAAAGCACAGGCAACTATGTAATTCATTGCATGGGATATTGTGAAGACCAAAACTATACAGGCAGTCCCCGAGTTACGCGGATCCGACTTATGTCGGATCCGTAATTACGAACGGGGCTTTTCTCGTCCCGGAGGACGCAGGCGGCAGGACCGCCCAGACGCGCCGAGGTCCCACCGCCCACGTCCTCCGGGGCGAGAAAAGCTGCTCCACGTCTCCCTGGTCTGCTGCATAAT